CTTGAACTTAAGTCTGACCGAATAAAGCTTGGTAAGAATTCAATAGCTGACTTCCATCAGTCCGCCATATTAATCAATGGGACGAAATCACACGACCAAGACTTGGGTTACACCTTGATTCGAGACTCTTCACACGTTGGCATCGAGGTATCGGAGAGAGTCGAGAGATTCATGTTAAGGAACGCGATCTTTATCAACATTTCCGGCATCGGAGTGAATATAGAAGGCTCTCTATCGAAGGTCGGCATCGAAAACGTCGAGTTTGTGAACTGCAGTTCACATAGCATGTCTGTGAAATCTCAAGCGCTTGAGGTTGAAGAGATCACTCTAACAAAAGTGATAGTCATCGGTCAAGGACATGGAGGGTCGATTCACGTGGAAGCGAATTTCACTCGCTGCCTCACCGTTAGCCACTGCTACCTGAACATCGGAAGGAATACAGGCATAGTACTTAAGCAGTCATGTCTTAATAATGGTCGATCTATGCTTACTCAAAATTCTACAGTTATATTTACCAATAACACCCTAATGCAGAACGATGGTGTATTACTGGACTTGGCGGTACCTGATGGCGCAACTATAAACATTAGCAACAACTACGTCTCTAAAAATAATCCCTCTAACGCTTCAGCACTTTTCGTTCTGCACGGCTGCGATGCCACTGAATCGTCTTGGCTGAGTTACTCCAATTCCAGTTTAATCATTGAGGGTAACCTCTTTACGAAAAATGAGGCGAACTATGCGATTTCCATAATCGGCGCAAACCAAGATGTTTTTGTGGTTGTCACGAGGAACATGTTTTTAAGAAACAAAAACGACGGTGCAGTCATATTCGTTCAAGCCTCTGAAGCAGTGCAACTGTTTTGCAATTATTTCGAGGACAATTTTACTCCCTACGGAATTATAACAGATTTTACCTCGATGAAAGGAACCGTGGACTGGCGTGATAATTGTTGGATCACAAAAAATGACACGAACTTGTTCATATCGACAACGGCAGTAAAACACGGTGCATCCGTCGAACCAGCAGTCCAGGCTAACGTCGAAATTGATAAGCAGACTTTGTCGAGTTTCACGTCAAGATGTGAGGAATCTTGTGATTCGCCAAGGTAAATTAATTATTTTTTTCAATTGATAAGTCACTAAAATTTATTATGTTAAAATATGAACAATTCTCACGATTCTCAAACATCTGAATGTCTACACAACGTAAAGCAGTTGATCTATAGCGCTGATGTTCCTCTAATTGGCAGTTCTTTCACTCAGTGAGATAGTAGCATTGTGGCAATGAGCTCTGCCTCGAACACAGCGAGAGTCGGGTTAAACTCCGTAGGAGTTACAGCATTTGTTTTAACTATGAATTTCCTTGAGCAAAGAATTTCTCCCAAATCAAGAAACGGGTAAAAACTTGCAGCATGGTGTTCTGATGTCGTCATACGAAAATGAGCGAAGGGTAGAGCAATGCCATCTGATGTGAACACCT